TGTTCTTCCTTGACCCTCTCAAGCAGGTCCCCCATTCGGAATAGCATTAAAACTGAGGTTGATACATAAAGGCAAGTGCTAGTGCACTGCACAAAAGGCTGCCTTGTAAAGAAATATCAGTATGGTTCATATTCACTTTATATGTATTTTCAATTAAAAATAAATAAAACATACATAAGGTTGCCATTTAAAGCTATGCAATCACACAGAATGGATGTAGTACAATCTGTTTTCAACCTTTTGCTGCCAGAGCCGTTTTTGCAATTTTTTATTGCACACATGTTTAACCACTTCTCAACCAAAGGACAGCTACACCGTGGTCGGCTAGTTCTGGGAGGGCATCCATGAACGTCCTCCTGGAACCACCCCCCCCCCCCCCCCCCCCCGCGCACTGACCACGTGTCCAAGTAAAGGGCCAATCAGAGACAACTTTTATATGTGACCAGCTGTGTCCAATCACAGCTGATCACAGTGAAAATAGTAAATGTTGGTTGTCAGCAGTCCTCTCCTTGGCGGCATTTCTCACGGGGACATCAGTGCCCTGATGATCAGTGTAGCCCCATTAGTGCGGACAATAGTGCCCATCAGTGCCCATTTGTGCTAGATTTCAGTGCCCATCTGTGCTGGATGTGCCCATGTGTGCTGGATGTACACATCTGTGCTGGCTTTCAGTGCCCATCTGTGTTGGCTATCAGTGCCTCCTCAGTGATGTCTGTCAGTACCCATCAGTGATGTCTGTTAGTGCCCATCAGTGCCGCCCATCAGTGCTGCCTATCAGTGCCCATCAGTGCCGCATATCAGTGCAGCCTCATCAGTGCCTCCTCATCAGTGTACTATTTGTCTCAATTTGTCTCTATTTGTAGATTGTAGGGATTTTAACAAAGGTTTTAGCAGAATCCTACCTATAGTTACTGTGAAGAAAAAGTTGTTTGTTTCACCAGACTGACAGCATACTGAATTCTGAATGGGAGGATCGTGTTCCTTGTTAATCAGCTGATGCATTTTCTGTGCTCTAATGAGAAAAGTTGCAGTGCCTGCATCCCTATGAAAATGATTAACTCTTGGGTAGTATCTCAACAAAACGTACTTTTCTGTTGCAGTATTTGCCTAAAATGTGGGTTTTATCATAGTGTAGATTTCAGGGAAAATTGGTGAGTCAATCACATAGCTTCTTGAGGGCCTCTGGATTTGTTTCGGGTCCCTCTATGCTCTGCACAGCCAGGCAACACACATTTTCCACACTTGCACATCCAGAGTCAATAATACAGTCTGTTTTTTTAGTTGTTTTTATCAAGGGGTTATTAACTTGGATGGGGTCTAGGGGTATATAGAATGCCCAAGGAACTAAAAAAAAACTGAGAACGAACTTCTTAGCAACAAAAACTGTACAAAAATGTGGATCAGAAAAGTTGCACTGTCTCTTTAAGGAGCACAGACGTTCCTTTGAGGTACGTCCTCAGACCCCGGATCTTCCTCTTCACCCAGCTGCACTGATGGTATCCCTGGGCAAGGGGTACCAAGCACTAACAATGAAGTAGGTCCAAATGATAACTAGTTGGGTCTTGCACCTAACTGCCCTCTCTCCTTATGTGGCCCAGGAGTTGTAGGAGTACTCACACTGTCCTGTCCTGTTAGCTTGGTGAGTCGGTGGCTGCCTCCAGGCCTTATGCTGGGCTGGCTCCTTCCCTGCTCCACAGGTTGTCCTCCTCAGGAGACGGTAGGACAGTGGAGATCCTCCCATCCAGAGTCCTGCCTGTAAGTAGACTTCCCTCCCTGCCCCCCAGGCTCCACACTCCAGCCTTCCTCTCAATCCATCTTCCACCTGACACTCAACACCCTGCTCCATTGGCTCTGTGATATTTAAGGGTTGTCCTTGGTCACCATGTCCAGCCTCCTGCCAGTGGATTGATCAAGGTCCCTCAAACATGCAGGTCTCCTCTCCTCCTCCACCCCTGTTCCAGAAAGTTCTCTCAGGTTCTTGAAAGGTGGGAGGCCTCCAGAAGCCCTGACCTGTAGAACCTGTCCTGAGGTGAACTCCTGCCCCACTCCCAGGTTGACTCATCCCAGGCTGCTACCCAGCCTCTGTCTAACAAAACAACAAAGTCTTTCTACCTAGAGGGTGTTACACACACAAGCAGGACATTACATTTTTGGAACCATTCTGTATACCAGCTGTGTACAGAACAGCTCCAGGTTGCCATACTACATTGAAATTTAAATAAAAAGTATAACACTGCAGATTGAAAAGGAAAGGTACTTTTTAATAACATTAACGTATAACTAACGACAAACTTTTTTTTTAGTTTTGGATAGAGTGGAGATGGATTAGAACACCTATTAGGTTATTATTGCAAGCCTCTCTATTTGTTCTGTTTACCATTATCATGGAACCCCCCACATTTTGGGTTGTCCCCAGAAAAGTAACAGAGGGGAAATCTTCCAATGGGGACACTAGTTCTGGTAACTTGGGGGTCCCAAAGGAATTGCCTTAATTTGCAGGGATTTTCTTTCACTTCCTGTTTTGGCTATGGGACAGAGAGTGAAGGTAAATTTCCCCAATGGGACACAGATAGCAAAAAATAAACTAACAAGGGTTATAACCCTCCCTTACACTATTAAAATGAAAACAAAAGTTTTGCCTATAGTTCTACTTTAACCCTTTCGCTGCCAGGCCCTGCACTCCACCTTTAAACTCAGCTGGCCGAACCATTTTTCCACTGCTTTTTAATTTTTTTTTCCCTTACAGCTTTCAGAGTTTGTAAAAGAACCCATACAATATATATTTTCTGAAAGTACATGACTAGTAGAATAAAAAAAAGGTGCTACTTATTTAGCCGTCAATTTACGCAGCGCTTTACATATATATATTGCACATTCACATCAGTCCCTAACCCTCAAGGGGCAAACAATCTAAGGTCCTTAACTCACATTCATACATACACATACTAGGGACAATTTAGACAGGAGCCAATTCACCTACCAGCATGTCTTTGGAGTGTGGGAGGAAACTGGAGTACCTAGAGTAAACCCACGCAGGCACAGGGAGAACATGCAAACTCCAGGCAGGTGGTGCCGTGGTTGGGAATTGAACCAACGACCCTAGTACTGCCATGCGGAAGTGCTAACCATTTAGCCACTGTGCTGCCGATTGAGTTGATAAATAACAAATATTAGTAATTTACATTGCACATTTTTGCGAAATGGTGGAAATCAAACGTATGAAAAACTGAAAATAACCAAATCTCTTTAAAAACCCGAAGGTTTTCATCTGTCACTTACAGCTTTTAGAGTTTGTAAAAGACCCCCCCAAACCATATATTTTCTTAAAGCACATGACCTGTACAATAAAAAGAAGGAGCTACCAATTTTTAAAGCCCTGTGAAAATTGCACAAATGTTTATCAAATCAAAATTTTGCTAACCATACATTAAAATCATTATTTGCAGAAAGAAGCACAGCAAATTTTACAAAATGTCTGCTAAATTCTTAAAAAATATAGAAGTTTAACTTGTATTGAGTTAAAAAATAACAAATATTTGTACATGTTAAATTGTGCCTTTTTGCAAAATGGTGAAAATCAAACGTATGCAAAATTGTAAATAACCAAATTTCTCTAAACATCTGGAGGTATTCGTTTTTACTTACAGCTTTCAGAGTTTGTAAAAGACCCCCCCAAACCATATATTTTCTAAAAGCACATGACAAGTAGAATAAAAAGAAGGTGCTGCTGATTTTTTAGGCCCCACAGTAGTTGTGCAACCCAAATGTTTGTTAAATCGCTGTTTTAACCTCCCTGGTGGTATTCCCGAGTGTAGCTCGGGGTAAAGTTTCAGCACCACAAGCGGTAACCCCGAGCTACACTCGGGAATACCTGCAGCGCTGCTCCAGGATCTCTTCTTCACTCACCTTGTCCTTCCCTCCCGCGATGTCCCTCCTGCAGTGTCCACAGCAATGTCCTCCGGCCGATGCCAGCATCCGTCTTCTGGGTTCCGTTCCCTGCGACGTCAGAACGTACGGGGGACGGAACGGTGGGAAATTTAAAAATGTGAAAAAGTGACATTCACTAAATATACTAAAATCACATAGTAAAACATTACTGTATCAAACCATTTCACATACATTTTGTCCCGAGTGCTTTGTCATGTGCCCTGCCTGCATTTTTACCGTTCTTTCTGCCTGGAAACTGAGAAATGACCATGGCATCCAAAAAGCGTCCCTTTAGGTCAAAAGTGGTTTTAGACCAGCTAGAGACAGCGATAGTAAATTGGAACCACTTGCAGAATTGAGTGGTAATGATTCGTGGGGAAATTCGTCATCAGACACTGAAAACGATTTTGCGACCTTGCTCAGTGATGTGCAAACTTGGCGCTATATTTCAAATTTCAGTGTTTTTGGTTTGATTATATTATTGAATTAAATTTATTATTATTATATTATTGTTTTCTATGATTATTTATTAAATTATAATTTATGATTTCGTGTTTCAAATTTTACCGGGATGTTTACTAGACTCTTCTTCGGACAGATTTCAGTGAGTTATTCCTAAAAATTACAGCCTACAATAAAAAAAAATACATATTTCCATACAAAAAAATGTACCGCTTTGAGCACAAAAATACTGACATAATCAGACCGCTAGGGAGGCTACCTAAAAAACTTACAAAATTCCTTCTAAATTCCTACTAAGGCCTCATGCACATGGGAAGTACTAAAGTGTAAGCCCATGGAGGGCTGTATGGATTTACCTGCAGAGGTAACATCCCTATGCAGGTAGCCCCATTCATGTCAACTGGGATGCAGCAGCTGCAAGGATAGATAAGACATCTGTGCGGGTGTAGGTGCATGGCCCCAAATGCAGACAGTGTGAGTTCAGGGACATGCACCCACATTGATGTCAGGTTGGAAGCGGTGGCTGTGTCCATACAGCCACTGTATCCCAGTTGATATGGATGGGACTGCCTGCATAGGAATGCACAGAACCAGGGGCGGATTGACAACTCATGGGGCACCCGGCCAATAGGGGATCATGGGGCCCCTGTGTCCTTGCCCACATCCAAAAAAGTCTATGAAAAAGCCAATGAAAGCTACCAGGGGCATCTCATGGGGCCCCCCTACTGACCCCGGCCCTCGGGTAGTGCCTGAGTGCTCAAATGGTCAGTCCGCCTCTGCACAGAACACAATTTAATACAAATATGGTACAAAAAATTTCAACATGGCTTGTGTAGCAATTGCATATGCTATTTCTTTTTTTTTTGCTATATTTTTTTCACAAAAGCAGAGTTACCTTTTAAATGAAGCAATAGTTGATGTTACAACACCAATATATTTCCTAATATAGTCATTTTAAAACATTTGCCCCACACATGTGCATTATGACCCATTTACCACTTTCCCAGACAGAATATTTACTGTCTTATATCGCTGTAATGTTTTGCCAATGTGAGCGTAGACCCATTTATTCTTCAAAGGTCATACATCTTATAAGTTAGAGGCACTAATGCAGTGTCACATTAAAAAATATCTCACCATTCGTATGATGACTTACACTTGCTGGAAGCAGGATGGCTGCATAGGCCGTCTTAGACAGACCGATATATAGAGACGCTGAACCAGAGTCAGCGGCCTAATGCACATTGTATAGGTCACATCAGTTATGGTGTCTGGAGCCATTATATTTATGCATTAGGTCTCTAATGACTATATAAAGTCACTGTCAAATGTTAACCCTGTTAACTGGTAATTGGTTTCAAAACAAAAATAATCAGAAGACCCGACTCTATAATGTAGGGCAGCTACACATATGGAGAAACCATCAATTGTAAAGTGTGCTTTACAATATAATAAATCCTTTGAAAGAAAGAACTCCTAAAAATGACAACTTAGCCTTAGATAGTATGCATAATCCATATGTAAGGTTGTTACATTAGGTGAATCATTTTTTATGCATTTAATTGGTAACTATACGCACTTTTTCATTTTTTTTTTATTAAATTAATTTGTTAAAATTATGGTTATAGCATCCATGTCTCTGCATTCCGGTTAATTATGTCAGCATATTCTATATATAAAAAGGAAAAGAGTTAAGCATTCCATAAGAAAATAAATAGAAGGCATATGTTACACTTATTTTCGGCTGTATATTTTACCTCAAAATAGCCTTTGAAATTACTTTTAGATAATTACATTTCAAGCACCATTTTTCACTGAATATTGTTTTTGTTAAAAGTTATTTTAAAATAACTAAAAGAATTCAATTTCTGTGATTCATGCTCTAGGCTTTTGAAATATTAGGATTATGGCGTATGTTGTTGACAATCATTTATGCTTACTGTTTTGTTTTCATGTAACCTCGAAACATGAATTTACTTTATTGGATAATTATTATTGTGCTTTTCAGAAAGCTTATTTTTGTAAATATGTTATAATTTCAAAATGCTTAACTAAATAGTTGATCCTGAATACTACGGCCAGACTCATTCACCTTACCAACCGCTCCGTTTCTACCACACCCTCTGCTAATCACTCCACTGCCTTCCGATTGCCCAACGAATCAAATTCAAAATGCTAACACTGACGTCAGGGGCGGACTGACAACTCATGGGGCCCCCGGGCAATAGGGGATCATGGGGCCCCTGTGTCCTCGCCCACACCCAAAAAAGCCTATGAAAAAGGTACCAGGGGCATCTCATGGGGCCCCCTACTGACCCCGGGCCCTCGGGCAGTGCCCGAGTTTTCAAATGGTCAGTCCGCCCCTGACTGACGTACAAAGCTGTCCATAACACTGCCCCAAACTACATCACTGACCTAATATCCAAATGCCACCCAAAACGCACTCTCCACTCCTCACAAGACCTCCTTCTCTCTAGTTCCCTGGTCACCTCCTCCCATGCCCGCCGCCAGGACTTCTTCAGGGCTTCACCCATCCTTTGGAACTCCCTACCCCAATCCATCAGACTATCACCTACTCTCCTCTCCTTTTTGCGCACCCTGAAAACCCATCTCTTCAGGGAAGCCTACCCTGCCCTCTGCTAATTGCTGATCTCCTCCACTCTTCCTACCACTCCATCCCCCACAGCTATTCCTCCCGTACCACTATCCCCTCCCTCCTAGATTGTAAGCTCCAAGGAGCAGGGCCCTTGAACCCCTCGTGTATCGCATTTTATTGTTATTGTACTGTCTCCCATTGTAATGTACAGCGCTGAGCGAACTGTTGGCGCTTTATAAATACTGTATAATAATAATAATAATAATAAATTAAAAAGAAAAAAGGCAAATCATTCTAAGATTAGAAAATACAACGGGCTTAATATAGCAGTTACAGTGGTTGTAGACTCTTACATATACTGGGAGAAGTGACTAGCCTAAGGTGATACACAGAGATCAAGCAAATCCTCCAGCATACGTTGTACCTGTTTATCTGTGGCCCTCTCTTCTCTATAGCCATTCAAAGCCCAGAATTTACCCAGCAATTTTTTGCTTCAGAGGACAGGGGTTGGGGATCTGCCTTCACACACTGCACAGCATAGAGCTGAAGCATGAAACATATCCTCATATATAACATATGACTGCGTATCTGTAGCATTTGTCCTGTACATCTTTGTACAACTCAGAGATGAAAAGCATTTTTTTACAGACTTACAAATCAGGGGGCAGGGAGCTGCAGTTACACACTGTACAACAGCTCTGAAGCTGATTGGAGGGAAGGGACACAACTCCCCCGGACATCACACATGGACAGAAATGAGACTGTCAGTCACAGGCTGTGTCCTGGAGCTCCCTCTCCTGTCACCTTTTTGAGCTCTTGGTGTTGAGACTTTTTTGCCAAAAGTGACTCATGCTGATAACAGGGCAATTATATAGCAGAGAGAAATGACACTTAGTGCTTTGGAGAGAGGCAAGCAAACACTATAGAAATATGTGCTTTGCTCAGATTTCATGGCTGAGGTTTACAACCACTTTAAAAAAAAATCAAACTGTGTAGCTCTGTTTAACCACTTCCAGTCCGGACACTTTCACCCCCTTCCTGTCCAGGGCAATTTTCAGCTTTCAGTGCTATCACACTTTGAATGACAATTGCGCGGTCATGCAACACTGTACCCATATGAATTTTTACCATTTTTTTGAGACAGATAAAGCTTTATTTTGGTGGGATTTATTCACCGCTGGGATTTTAATTTTTTTTTTGCTATGTAAATGAAAACGTGCAAAAATTTTGAAAAAAGTGTTTTTCTTATACAATTTTGCAAATAAATAATCTTTCATCAAAAATCTTGGCTGAAATGTATTCAGTTATCTTTTTAGTAAAAAAAAAAAATAAGCCAAATTAGTTTATAACCAAAAATTATAATTTTTAAACATTTTGTTTACATTTTTATGTTTTTTTTTATATTAATATTTATTTATTTATTTTTTTTTACATACTGTCACCCTAGCAGTACAGTGTCACCATGGTGACACTGTACTACTTGTGGGCGGTGATGAAGATTTTTTTTTTTTTTTTTTTTTTTACAGTGACTGCTTTTACACCCATATAGGATGTAAAAGCAATAATTTCTCTTTCTCTCTGTCTGCATTCTTGCAGCCATTGAGAACTACTGAGTGAGCTGTGATTGGTCACAGCTTATCACATGGTACAAGGCTGTTGTGAATAGCCTTGTAACATGTGACTGTTGTGATCATTCACAGATTTCACACGTAGTAAGCAATGATGTCACAAGTGACATCTTGCTTATTACTTTGCATTTGATCACTGATTGGCCAATCAGCGATCAATGATCGGGACCTCGTACAGAGGTCCCGTCCGACGATCGGTGTTTCACTGTGTCCGGAGGACACAGCGGCACCGGATCGCGGTGCTGCGCACTCCCAGGAGCGCGGTGCTGCGCACTCCCAGGGAGCGCGCACAGCTAGAAATGGCAGGTGCCGTTTATGAATGGCAACCCGCCCCTGGGGTGCCACCATCCTGCCGTTTATAAACAGCAGGCGGACGGCAAGTGGTTAAAGTGGAACTTCTCACTCTCAATCAACACTGACAATCTTTATGCTGCTAGCATGCTGCTAGACAGGATCACATATTATATTTACTTGTTTCTTTAGTAACTTCCTGGTTTCTTGCCTAGGCAAATGATGTCATACATCCCAGGAGTCTTCTGGAGAGGAGGAGGGGTTTTCTCAGCTACGCATGCCCTCCTGTCTGCATGTCTAAACTAAGGGCAGATGGATTCCAGGAAGTAAATGCTACATGAATCATCTGCCCTTAATTAAATTGGCCACGGCCACAGGGGTGTTTTTTTAAAATAATTTCTCAGCAAAATAAATCATGGAGACATGGATGGATGGCAGATTTTGCGTTGAATATTAAAAATGAATTATATAGTATTTTTGCTTTGTGGTGCTCAGATGCCGTGTAGTTCTGCTTTAAACCTTTTTATTAACACTCAGTTGTCTTAGGGCCAGTTCACACTACATGCATTCCAGTGTGTTTTTTCTGCATCCAAAACACACAGAAAGTAGGTTCACATCAGTGCTTGCATTTCCAGTGCATTCCAGTTGCAGAAAATAAAGTAGAACTGGCTGCATTTTTTCTGCACAGAACTGTACTGGAACACGATAAAACGCATCACAAATGCACCGGAACGCACTCGAATACACCAAAAAAGCACTCGAACACACATATCCCTATGCTAATTGAAAAAAAAGAGAGGGGGCAAAAATGAGCTGGAAAGCATCAAAAACGCAATGGAAAGCATAAAAAAGGCATAAAGATGCACTGGAATGCGCCAAAAAAAGTATAAAAAATGCACATGCAGAAACGCATCCGGAACGCATTTGGACTGCATTTCCATAGTGGGAACTGGCCCTTAAAGCTAAAGTAGAAGCTACTAATATTTTGCTTTCCTTGGTTCCCTGCTTCCTTTCCCCATTCATTGAATACTAATGCTGTTTTTACCCACTTCCCGACCGCCCTATATCAGTTTTACTGCTACAACGTGGCCGCTCTGATCTTGCCTTTTCTGATCGCCCCAGATTTTAACCCCTTCCTGCCCAGTATCATTAGTACAGTGTCAGTGCTTTTTATTAGCACTGATCCCTGTATTAGTGTCACTGGGGATATCAGTGACAGTCAGTTCCCACCCAGTGTGAGTTAGTGTCAGTATGCCCCCTGTAGTCCAGGCTATACGTTGCTGATTGCTGACATTACTAGTATAAAAAACAATATTTAGTATACATACCGCCATTTGGAGACGCAGTCGCTATAACTTTCATGCAAACCAATTACTATACACCTATTGTTTTGTTTTTTGTTTTTTTTTAGCAAAGACATGTAGCAGAAATATTTGGCCTAAATTTATGAAGAAAATGTATTTTTCAGAATTTGTATGGGATATGTTTTATAGCAAAAGGTAAACATTTACCATATTTTTCGCTCTATAAGACGTACTTTTTTCCCCCCAAATAAGGGGGGAAAATGTCAGTGCGTCTTATGGAGCGAATGTAAAGCGGCCGGTCCGGTATTTCCACTGCCACCATGTCAGAATACTGGGCTGGCCGCTCAGCTGTTCTCTGCTGCAGGACCTTACCTGTTCCTCGCTCCAGCGCTGCAGTCTTCCTGCGCTGGCTTCTTCCTGTGCCGGCATCTGTGACAGCCGGGTGCCCACTTCGTATGCGTGAGAAGCGCTGCGCTTTGTGAATCGTCCGGCATCTTCTGGGACACATGACATGCGCTTCTCGCGCATGCGCAGTGAGCACCCGGCTGTCACAGCCAGTTGCCCACAGTAAAGGGAGGGCAGCTCCGTGGAAGTGGGAGCGGGTACCTGTCAAATTCAGGTACTTGCTCCCCCTCCCTCCCTAAAGGCCCGCAGTCTCTGGTCATCTCTTGTACTGTCTGCTTTCTCTGGTCATCTCCTGTACTGTCCGCAGTCTCTGGTCATCTCCTGCACTGTCTGCAGTCTCTGGTCATCTCCTGTACTGTGTCCGCAGTCTCTGGTCATCTCCTGTACTGTCCGCAGTCTCTGGTCACCTCCTGTACTATGTCCGTAGTCTCTGGTCATCTGTACTATGTCTGCAGTCTCTGGTTATCTCCTGTACTGTGTCCGCAGTCTCTGGTCATCTCCTGTACTGTGTCCGCAGTCTCTGGTCATCCCCTGTACTGTGTCTGCAGTCTCTGGTCATCTCCTGTACTGTGTCCGTAGTCTCTGGTCATCTCCTGTACTGCGTCCGCAGTCTCTGGTCAACTTCTGTACTGTGTCCGCAGTCTCTGGTCATCCCCTGTACTATGTCCGCAGTCTCTGGTCATCTCCTGTACTGTGTCCGCAGTCTCTGGTCATCCCCTGTACTGTGTCTGCAGTCTCTGGTCATCTCCTGTACTGTGTCCGTAGTCTCTGGTCATCTCCTGTACTGCGTCCGCAGTCTCTGGTCAACTTCTGTACTGTGTCCGCAGTCTCTGGTCATCCCCTGTACTATGTCCGCAGTCTCTGGTCATCTCCTTTACTGTGTCCTCAGTCTCTGGTCATCTCCTGTACTGTGTCCGCAGTCTCTGTTCATCTCCTGTACTGTGTCCGCAGTCTCTGGTCATCTCCTGTAGTATGTCTGCAGTCTCTGGTCATCTCCTGTACTGTGTCCGCAGTCTCTGGTCATCTCCTGTACTATGTCCGCAGTCTCTGGTCATCTCCTGTAGTATGTCTGCAGTCTCTGGTCATCTCCTGTACTATGTCCGTAGTCTCTGGTCATCTCCTGTACTGTGTCCGCAGTCTCTGGTCATCTCCTGTACTGTGTCCGCAGTCTCTGGTCATCCCCTGTACTGTGTCTGCAGTCTCTGGTCATCTCCTGTACTGTGTCCGTAGTCTCTGGTCATCTCCTGTACTGCGTCCGCAGTCTCTGGTCAACTTCTGTACTGTGTCCGCAGTCTCTGGTCATCCCCTGTACTATGTCCGCAGTCTTTGGTCATCTCCTGTACTGTGTCCGCAGTCTCTGGTCATCTCCTGTACTGTGTCCGCAGTCTCTGGTCATCTCCTGTAGTATGTCTGCAGTCTCTGGTCATCTCCTGTAGTATGTCTGCAGTCTCTGGTCATCTCCTGTACTGTGTCCGCAGTCTCTGGTCATCTCCTGCACTATATCCGCAGTCTCTGGTCATCTCCTGTACTGTGTCCGCAGTCTCTGGTCATCTCCTGTACTGCAGTCCGCAGTCTCTGGTCATCTCCTGTACTATGTCCGCAGTCTCTGGTCAGCTCCTGTACTATGTATGCAGTCTCTGGTCAGCTCCTGTACTGTGTCCGCAGTCTCTGGTCATCTCCTGTACTGTGTCCGCAGTCCCTGGTCATCTCCTGTACTGTGTCCGCAGTCTCTGGTCATTGCCTTTACTATGTCTGCAGTCCATTGGTTCAGAAATTTTTTTTCTTGTTTTTTCTCCTCTAAAACCTATGGTCAGGTGTGTCTTATGGAGCGAAAAAAATGGTAGTTTTTTTTTACATTTTTGGTCTTTCTTCATTTATGAGGATTGGTATAGAAGAGTGAACCCGTGGTGGAAGGAAAGAAAGCTGCATAATATATGGGCTGCTTTAGATGGAGATCAGATCACATTTTATGGCAAATGACTGCAGAAATACAGTTCATTTAAAAGGGTTCACATACTTTTTCTTGCCGCTGTATATAGGTATAACACTGTGATAGGCTAAATCAGACTGCAGTAGTAAAAGTGAGACTCTGTGTTTGGGGAAAGTAGAAGACCTTGAAATTGTAATTGAAGTCATGAGAGAGCGAGACAAAATGATTTAATGTTTATTTCATAATATTTTAACACTTCTAAATATACCAAATGTCATTCTGTTACTAATTTAGTATTTTGTCATTTGTAATCAATGTGCGGTATTTCTTGGATTATTTACTCTAAGTGATTGAGGAGTATGTTTACAATTTTTGGATGTAATTTTTTTTCAGATAATGCCTACATTATATTTGGCTCTATCACATGACTGAACCGCCTACGACAATTGCAGCTGTATTTAACATAATATTATTTTTAGTACATAAGCATGAAATAAAATACAAATTTGGTATCCCCTTATGTATACCATTGGGGAATTGTATGTATAACATGTACATAATAAATGATGCCATGGAGTGTTGCCCATAAAATTGTCAGTGAGAGTTGGATACTACATTAACCTCCCTGGCGGTCTGATTATTTCAGATTTTTGGTGCTGAAAGCGGTACCATTATTTTGCATGGAAATATGTAGTTTTTTTTATTGTAGGCTGTAATTTTTAGGAATAACTCACTGAAATCTGTCCGAACAAGAGTCTATTAAACATCCCGGGTATGATAAAATTTGAAACATGAAATCATAAATTATAATTTAATAAATAATCATAAAAATAATAATATAATAATAATACATTTAATTCAATAATATAATCAAACCAAAAACACTGAAATTTGAAATAGAGCGCCAAGTTCGCACATCACTGAGCAAAGTCGCAAAATCGTTTTCAGTGTCTGATGACGAATTTCTCCACGAATCATTATCACTCAATTCTGCAAGTGGTTCTGATTTACTATCGCTGTTCTCTAGCTGATCTAAAAACCGCTTTTGACCTAAAGGGACGCTTTTTGGACGCCATGGACTTTTTTCAGTTTCCAGGCAGAAAGAACAGACAAAATGCAGGCAGGGCACAGGACAAAGCAGTCGGGACAAAATGTATGTGAAATGGGTTGAAACAGCAAGTTTTGATATGTAAAATTTGTTTGGAAAAAAATGACATTTTTTAAAATTTTCAAATTTCCCCGGCGGCGGCGCCCGTACGTCCCGACGTCACAGGGACCGGAACCCAGAAGCCGGATGTCGGCATCGGCCGGAGGAGATGGCCGGGGACACTGCAGGGGACACATTGCGGGAGCGAAGGACAAGGTAAGCTCTGCAGGGACTCCCTATGCAGCGCCGCATGGTAAGCCCGAGTGTAGCTCGGGGTTACCGCTTTTGGCACTGACATTTTACCCTGAGCTACACTCAGGAATACTGCTAGGGAGGTTAAAGCGGTAATTAACCCTAAACCTGAAATGTATTATATTGTAGGTTACTAATCCTTAGTGGCTGGATTCATTTTATTTTTTTAGGTTTTTTTCCTTTATTTTTACCTGGTGATCCAGCCAGTATGTCTGTTATATTTCAACTTCATTTACCAGACCAAACTGTCCAGTAAAAGTGTCAGTTAAGCTGGTCATAGAGTATGCGATTTCTTTCCAGCAACCACATATTTTTAAACTCCTTCCTGCTCCCTTCAAGTGGGCTATTATCAAGGAGGGGGGGGGGATTGCATGGGGGGAAAGGTCTGTATGATCACATGAAATCTGTGATTGGCTGTCACAGTGGTCACGTGATCAGGAGCTGGTCCATAGACATGTTTGTTTTATTATTTTTTGTTTTTCAGAGGAAAAGGTTATTTCCAGAGGTTTGGGTGTATATGAATCTCCGAATGGACAGAGGTACGAATGTCAACGAATCAAAAAATAAAATGTTAATCTGCTAATGAATTTGCTTAATTCGTTTGATTTGGTTGGTGTCACGTGATGCAATAGTAGATGGTGCCCATGGGGAAATGAGTTCAATTTTTGAATGTGTTCAATAATTTGGATTTGGATAACGAATTGATCTGAATTTCATTCCATTCAATAATTTAGATTCGGATAACGAATTGATCCGAATTTCATTCCATTCAATAATTTGGATTCGGATAACGAATTGATCCGAATTTCATTCCTTTCAATAATTTGGATGCACTTGATGCCAGTCAATATCATCCTATCAGCTTATGCCATTTCTCTTGGCGGGTTGGACTAGTTTCTGATAATATTGAATATTTCAGGTTTGAATCCATCCAGTTCAATAATATATATAGAAATCTGGAAAAAACACAAAATGTTTCAAATCCACTCGGAACATCGAATATACTAAATGAATGACAAAGAAAAAAATGAATTACAAAAATGAATCGGAACAGCATAATGAATATGGCAAAACAAAATTTTTGAATGAACGAATCCATCTGAAATGAAATTTCAATCATTACTAAAGACCTGGAGATGTCTTTGACGGTATGGTCCCTGTGCTGACAATCTCAACACAGAAACACCCATGGACACATATATGCAGTGTGCAGGTGTTAAAGCCCACTCTATTTGATGCACATATAATCTGGGGGGTGGAAACAGGTTAAGTGTAAGTAATTGAACCACTTCAAGTCTGGACACTTTCACCCCCTTCCTGTCCAGGCCAATTTTCAGTTTTCAGCGCTATCACACTTTGAATGACAATTGCGCGGTCATGCAACACTGTACCCATATGAATTATTTAGCTTTTGTTTTGAGAAAGATAATACTTTATTTTGGTGGTATTTATTCACCACTGGGATTTTTATTTTTAGATATAAATGAAAAAGTCCAAAAATTTTGAAAAAAAAGTGTTTTTCTTATAACATTTTGCAAATAAATAATCTTCTTCATAAATCTTGCCCAAAATGTATTAATCTATCTTTTAGTAAAAAAAAAACTAGTTTATAACCAAAAATTATATATTTTCCTTTTTTTTTTACATTTTTATTTTATTTTTTTATATTATTATTATTATTTTTTTTTTTTTTTAACATACTGTCACCCTAGCAGTACCATAGTGACACTGTACTACTTCTGGGGGGTGATGAAGATTTGTTTTTCTTTTTTTACACTGATTGGTTTTTACACCCATAAAGGCTGTAAAAGCAATAATTTCTCCTTCTCTTTGGCTGCATTCCTGCAGCCATTGAGGAATACTGTGAGAGCTGTGATTGGTCACAGCTTGTCACATGGTACAAGGCTGTTGTGAATAGCATGTACCATGTGACCTCTGTGATCATTCACAGATTTCACTAGTAGAAAGCAATGATGTCAGGAAGGGACATCTTGCTTACTATTATTCATGTGATCACATGAATCAGGACCTCACACAGAGGTCCCATACAGCAATCTGTGTTCCACTGTGTCCTCCAAACACAGCGGGCACCGATCGCAGTGCCGCACGCTCCTAGGAAGCACGCACAGGCAATGGATGCGGAGGGACATTTAGAATGAGTCTGGCCGCCATATTCTGGATCGACTGAAGCGGGGATAGCCTGTGGTGAGGCAGGCCAGTGAGGAGGGAGTTGCAGTAATCGAGTTGTGATATGATGAGGGAGTGGATGAGCTGCTTAGTAGTTTCTGCAGTAAGGAATGGACGTATTTTGGCGATGTTGCAGAGGTGGAGTCTGCATGAGTTTGTTAGCGATTGGACTTGGGGCTGGAAGGATACCATGCACTCACCTCCTTCCTAGACCTACAAAACTAGGTCATAAATGCTTAGAAGCGATGGTAGAATTCTGCTTATGCACTGCTGCCTATTTGTAGCTACTTCATTGATGCTGGCCCTTTAAGAAACCGAAACTCCAAGATTCTTGATAGGATGGTATGTGCTTCCAGTGAAAACATAGCTCTCTCAGTGCGCAGCTCACTCTGAGCATCTCACCCCCCCCCCACTTCCGGTTTCCGCTTCGCTTGGCTGCGGACACTGTGCCAAAATTGCAGAGGCCGATCTGCTGATAGCCTAAAGATTTACTTAAAGATTTACTGCTGCTCAAGGGCTCTGGGCTTCAGCAAAATGGCAACCTCCAGCAAGAAGAAACAGGAACAATGCTGGAGGCAATGGACAGCACATACTTATTTTGTCAGCATCACTATTAATGTGGAATGTACACTACATTGGGATAAATGTTCAATCGTTCCTTAGCCTGAGGGAGTGTTTAGGTGAAGGTAGGGTTGTGTTTTGCATAATTTATTATGTTTTCGGATAATAAAATGATGTTTCTTTGTATATAGTTCTATTTATGTTATTTTCAGAAAAAAAGACGTTTTATTTTCTGTTGTTTGCTGATGTAAACTTGTTTGATTTTGTTTTATTTATATAGATATATATTCATTTTTATTTTTTGTATATATGTAAATATGCTTTTATTAATAAGCTGTATGTTTGCAAAATTTTAAATGAACAAAAATGTACACTATATTGCCAAAAGTATCGGGACACCTGCCTTTACACGCACATGACCTGAAGGTTTAGGAGTGTGTCTATGGGAAGGTTTGATCATTTTTCCAGAAGCGTATTGGTGAGGTCAAGCACTGATGTCAAATGAGAAGGCCTGGCTCACAGTCTCTGCTCTAATTCATCCCAAAGGTCTTCTATCGGGTTGAGGTCAGGACTCTGTGCAGGCCAGTCAAGTTCCTCCACCCCAAATTCGCTCATCCATGTCTTTATGGACCTTGCTTTGTGCACTGGTGCGCAGTCATGTTGGAACAGGAAGGGGCCATCCCCAAACTGTTCCCACAAAGTTGGGAGCATGAAATTGTCCAAAATGTCTTGGTATGCGAACAACTTAAGAGTTCCCTTCACTAGAACTAAGGGGCCAAGCCCAACCCCGGGAAAAAAACAACCCCACACCATAATCCCCCCTCCACCAAACTTTACACTTGGCAGAATCAGACAGGCAAGTACCGTTTTTGTGCTAATCTGAAGGCCACACGAAGATTGGAGGTCTTTAGCTATTGACTCTGCAGGCGATTTCTGCACACTGTGCGCTTCAGCATTTGCTGACCCCACTCTGTCATTTTACATGGCCTACCACTTTGTGGCTGAGTTGCTGGTGTTCCCAGTTGCTTCCACTTTGTTATAATACCACTAACAGTTGAGCGTGGAATATTTAGTAGCAAGGAAATGTCACAGATGGACTTTTTGCACAGGTGGCAACCTATCACGGTACCACGCTTGGAGTCACTGAGCTCCTGAGAGCGACCCATTCTTTCACAAATGTTTGTAGAAGCAGTCTGCATGCCTAGGGGCTTGATTTTATACACCTGTGGCCATGGAGGTGATTGGAACACCTGAATTCAATGATTTGTAGGGCGTGGACAATACTTACTTTTTTTTTTTTAATTATTATTTTATATTTTACAATATAGAGATTGATAGATAGATAGATAGATAGATAGATAGATAGATAGATAGATAGATAGACAAGGTCTAGATCTTTTTAAATGATCCTAGTGCACTTCTTATAAACCATGTCATTCCAGGAGATGCAGAAAATATTACATGGCCATGGAGGTGATTGGAACACCTGAATTCAATGATTTGTACGGCGTGGACAATTTTTACATTTTTTTTTTAAATTATTGTTTATATTTTACAATATAGAGATAGATAGATAGATAGATAGATAGATAGATAGATAGATAGATAGATAGATAGATAGATAGATAGGTCTAGATCTTTTTAAATGATCCTAGTGCACTTCTTATAAACCATGTCATTCCAGGAGATGCAGAAAATATTACATGCATAAGGATGCAAAGGAACAATACTACCTCTTCCTCTTGGAGCCACCACTAGTCTTGTAAGATTTTGTTTTATTTTAACCAGCTGCTCCTGAATATCTGGAAATGTTCTGCTTTCCTTTCATTATAAGAAGAAAAGAAGAGGCTGTTTTCTGCCTAGGGACATGCTGAAGCGTTATCCATCATCGTTAAACATGTAATGTAATTTTCGGGGGTCTTCATCCTGTCCCACTGTCAGACTTGGTATTATTGATAGGAGAGAGCTAATGGAGCATCGTGATGGAAAGACCAGAAAGGGGTATATAATTCTCACCACAAAAAGAACCTGACTAGATCATGCAATAAAGTGTAGAAAAGTTAGAAATCCATTAGGTTTAAGAGCCCATCTGAGGCTACCGCATAAACACCAATAGGGATAGCTGTTTATATGGGTACAAAGCCAAAAGCGTTTAGTGTCTTAAAGTTGCTACGCATCTGTTATAGTATTATTTTGTTTGGCTACCAAAAATCCATATGTTTTCCTTCGTCAAGTCCATCTCAAAAGCTATGGTGTTTTATGTTTTAACACTTCAAAATAAAATCTGGTTTTAAGTGTGGGTGAAAAGTACATTTATGCTTCTTTCTTCTACTTAGCAAAGTAAATCCTTACATACCCTTCTTCGTCATTTGTTATCTTATGTATGTAGATCAAAAGAAAAAGAAAAAGAATTTCAGTTGGTCACAAATGTCAAATGACTGTGATTAAAGTCTGGAAATAATTGCGACAAGCTCCCACTCTCTGTGCTGTGATCACAGCTGTCTTTAAACTCTGTGTGGGGAAAAACAGTATTAAAGGCGATTTCCCACCAAACAACCAAACACAGTTGTAATTCAAATATATTTACTGTTTAAATATCAAAAATGTGCCTAATTGTGTTTTAACATTTGTGTAATTCATGTACTCCAGGCAGGCGTCACAGGCAGGAGATGACACCAATATCCAGAACTAGCAGCTACAGCCAGGGCAAGTCATCTAGTGCCCAGTTCAAAGATGCCAAACTGCAGCCCCCCCCCAGGTTGTATGAGCATTATATGTCAGCAAAATCCCCTCCCTTTCCCCCCAAAAAAATCAATTGCTAATCTGCACACTTACCCCCTAAGCATACTTTCTCTTTGCAAGCCAAAATCCCCCCTCCTCCCAGGATTAAAAAATCACTGCCTAATGAAATCCCTCCTCCCAGCTCAAATCCTCTCTCTTCTCAAATCCCCCTCATAGCATAAATCCCGCCCCCCCCAAAAAAAAACAATCACCCTCCTAGTACAAATCCTCCCCCCAAATCCTTCTTCCCTAGCACAAATCCACCCCACAATTTCCACTCTTAGCACAAATCCCTGTCCCAAATCACCCCTTCTTGCACCCCCCCAACCCTATCTCCTAGCACAAATCTTCTTCACTCATTCCCCCAGCACAAATCATCCCTTCTAGTACATCCCCCAAATTTCCCTTCCTAGAACCAATTTTATCCCCTGCCACCCCATTTCCCCTCCCAGTACAAGTCCGCTCCCCCAATCCCCGCAGAATATATCCTTTCCCTACTATCCTCCCACTCAGTACAAATCCCCCCAAATCTCCACTCTTAGCACTCCCCCCTCAAAAAAAAAATTCCCCTCCTAGAACAAATTTTAAAATCTTACCCCATCACCAAATCCCCCCTTATCCCCCACCTAGCTGTACTCCTTTTCCCCCTCCTAACACAAATACTTTCATTCCCATCACAAATGTTTGTTACTCTGTCCCCTCCTTGTAGTGGCAGGAACTTTCCATGAGGTGCCCACTTCCCAACCTCACATGATACCATCGCCTCAGGCAGCTGCCCTCCTTGCTCATTCCCTAAACCTGCACACACACACACACTATATATACAGTTGTGGTCCCAAAATTATTCAACCCCCAATGCTGTAAAGGGGTTTAGGGACTATAGTGTACATTTGGAATTGTATTCAGAATCAAATCCTACAAGGACGTTGTAACTACCCAAATGCAACTAAAATGACATCAATTGTTTATGTAATACAGTAGTAAATGGTTCTTATGTGGTTTCTTCATTGCCACAATTATTCAACCCCTTAAAGACTACCACTCTGAAGAACAGAGGTTCATACAGGTGCTTTTCCATCAGGTATTGAAAAACACCTGTGGATGTCACCGAGCAGCAATCAAGCATAATAAGCACCAATTAGGCAGCTTTAAAATGACTGTGATACTCAGCTCCTTCTAGACTTTACTGGTGTGGTTACAAACATGGTGAAGGCAAGAGAATGGTCCAGGAAGACAAGAGAAGAGGTGATTTTCTCTTCACAGGAAGGGCAATGGCTATAAGAAGATTGCAAAGATGTTAAACATACCAAGAGACACCTTAGGAAGCATCATTCGCAAATTCAAGGCAAAGGGCACTGTTTGAAACGCTACCTGGTCGTGGCAGAAAGAAGATGCTGACTTCGACTGCTGTGCGCTACCTGAAGCGTAGAGTGGAGAGAAGTCCCCGTGTGACTGCTGAGGAACTGAGAAAAGATTTGTCAGATGTGGGTACAGAAGTTTCAGCCCAGACAATAAGACGCACACTGCGTAATGAAGGCCTCCGTGCCAGAACTCCCAGGCGTACCCCCTTGCTGTCTCCAAAGAATAAGAAGAGTCGACTGCAGTATGCCAAAAGCCATGTGGACAAACCACAAAAGTTGTGGGATAGTGTTCTGTGGACTGATGAAACAAAATTAGAACTGTTTTGGGCCCATGGATCAACGCTATGTTTGGAGGAGGAAGAACAAGGCCTATGATGAAAAGAACACCTTGCCTACTGTGAAGCATGGTGGAGGGTCAATCATGCTTTGGGCTGTTTTGCTTCTGCTGCAGGTACAGGGAAGCTTCAGCGTGTGCAAGGTACCATGAATTCTCTTCAGTACCAGGAGATATTGGATGGAAACGTGATGCAGTCCGTCACACACCTGAGGCTTGGGAGACGTTGGACCTTTCAACAGGACAATGATCCCAAGCATACCTCCAAGTCCACTAGAGCATGGTTGCAGAGGAAAGGCTGGAACATTTTGGAGTGGCCATCGCAGTCACCAGACTTAAATCCGATTGAGAACCTCTGGTGGGACTTAAAGAAAGCAGTTGCAGTGCGCAAGCCTAAGAATGTGACTGAACTGGAGGCCTTTGCCCATGAAGAATGGGCGAAGATACCCGTAGATCGCTGCAAGACACTTGTGTCAAGCTATGCTTCACGTTTAAAAGCTGTTATAACTGTAAAAGGATGCTGTACTAAGTACTAAGATTGAATGTCACTTGGGGGTTGAATAAAAACTGATAATGCTGTGAGCACAGAAAAGACATTTGTGGTTATTTCATTATAACTGTTATGTTATATTTGGTCTGACCTACAAGTGCCTCTTTAATGTAAATGTAAGCAAGATGACTGAATGATCAAAAGCAATGTCAAACTGGCCAAAACACTCAATTTCAGTGGGGGTTGAATAATTTTGGACACAACTGTATATATATATATATATATATATATATATATATACATATTTATAAATATATATATATATATTGTCATATGAGAATCCAGGATCTCCCCCAGCCACTTGTAAGTCCTATATTTTATATTGGTGTTTGCAAACAATACACCAAGCAAAACAGTTTACTTGCAGCAAAACAAACAGTCCAAAACTCTAGTTCAAATGGCAAAAAAACAAGGTAATGGCACACAGCCACCATACTGGTCCCTCTCTGGGGTTTTTTGTGATTTCCACGGCTTTCAGGGGTCCCAAAGAAGAGGTTTTCACAGCTCAGCAACCGTGACTCATTCCCAAGCTCACTCAAGTGTACCAAGCTCTCTTTTCCTTCAGGACCAAATTTCCTGTAAACAGGGTTTGGAGGTTCTTCCCACCTAAAACTCTTTGAACCTCTAAAATTCTGGAACCCTTCATCCTGCATGAATGAGAATCCCTGAGTACTCAACATTATTTTTAAACTATCCACAACTAAAAAAATGGGGGTAAAGACACCTGCTGTCCAATACTCATACATGTATAATATATATAAATAGCATGCACTATATTACCAAAAGTATTGGGACACCCTTCCAAATCATTGGATTCAGGTGTTTCAGTCACCAAGGACCTAGGCATGCAGACTGCTTCTAAGAACATTGTGAAAGAATGGGCCGCACTCAGGAGCTCAGTGAATTCAAGCGTGGTACTGTGATAGGTTGCCACCTGTGCAATAAGTCCATCCATGAAATTTCCTGGCTACTAAATATTCCAACTGTTAGTGGTATTATAACAAAGTGAAAGAAACTGGGAACAACAACAGGCCAAATGACAGAGCGGGATCAGTGCATGCTGAAGCACACAAGGCGCAGAAGTCGCCAACTGTCTGCAGAGTCAATAGCTAAAGACCTCCAAACTTCATGTGGCCTTCAGATTGCCACAACAGCAGTGTGTAGAGAGCTTCATGGAATGGGTTTCCATGGCCGAGCAGCTGCATCCAAGCCTTATTTTCTCCAAGTGCAATGCAAATAGTCGGATGCAGTGGTGTAAAGCAGACCACCACTGGAATCTAGAGCAGTGGAGATGTGTTCTCTGGAATGATGAATCACGGTTCTTTGTCTGGAAATCCAAAGAACGTGTCTGGGTTTGGCAGTTCCCAGGAAAGGGGTATTTACCTGACTGCATTGTGCCAAGTGTAAAGTTCGGTGGAGGAAGGATTATAGTGTGGGGTTGTTTTAGAAGGGTTACAATAATTACAGTGAAGGGAATTCTTAAGGTGT